TTGCTGCTGTGGTGGGGGGGGGGAGTGGCTCAAACAAGTGAATTAACCGGCAGCAGTTTTATGGGAAGTGGTGGGACGAGGAGAAAGTTCTAGCCGCCCCCCCCCCTCCTTTTTTTTTCCAGCGAGAAGGTAATATTCACAACGTTGCATGCTCATGAATTATTAAGCAGCCCCTGTTCCACCCCCTGCATGCCGGACCTGCGAGATGCTGCGTGGGTCAGAAGACGCCTGTCTCTATTCCTTTGGACAGCTGTGCTGGTCCTGAAAAGCCAGGCTGCGCGTGGTGCTCAGAGAAGGTTCCGGAGGAGTGGCTGCAGAAGCGGCGGCATCTGTGTCCGGCCGTGGAGGAGGCAGCGGAACCATCCAGAGCATCGCTCCCGCTCCTGCTCCTTTTTTTCTCTTCTCTCTCTCTCTCTCTCACTCCATCTCTCTCTCTCTCTTTTTCTCCCTCTCTCATCTCTCTCTCTCTTTCTGGAGTTGAGATTTGCTCCGGAGACAGACAAGCTGCGAGAGTGAGGGCACTCGCAGGAGCAGGGTTGGATCGCGGTTGTCACGGAGTGCAGACCTGGCTGCCCACATGCCGATCGAATTTGTGTGCAAGATCAAGTTTGCTGAGGAGGATGAGAAGCCGTCGGGCAAGCAGGAGGGGGACAGGGAGAGTCTGATCGAGGAGAGCTGCGGCCCCCCGGTGAGGGACCTGGCCGGCTTCGCCAACTCCTGTTCCCTGCATGGGATTAACCACATATTCGTCACCGGCCGTCTGGGCATCCGGCAGACCCTGTGGGCACTGGCCTTCCTCGTGTCACTGGTCTTCTTCCTGTACCAATCAGCGAAGTGCGCCATCTCATACCTGGAGCACCCGCACGTCACGGCGGTGAACGAGGAGGCGAGCCCGGATATGGTGTTCCCCGCCGTCACCATCTGCAACATCAACCGCTTCCGCTTTTCAGCGCTGACGGACGGCGACATCTACCACCTGGCTGCCCTGATGGGGTTGCCGCCCAAAAACAAGGAAGGCCACAAGCCCACGGACTTGAAGTACCCTGCCCCCGACATGCAGGACATCTTCAACAGGACGGGCCACCAGCTGGAGGAGATGCTCAAGAGCTGCAACTTCAGTGGACAGAACTGCTCCGTGAAGGACTTCACCGTGGTGAGTGTCACCAAAGTAACTCAGACTTCTCCAATTTACCAAGAGAGCTGTCAGCCTAACAAATAACTTTCGCCAAGCATTTAAGAAGTAAATTTCAGCTTAATAATAAAACATCTTAAAAGTTCCCTTCTGTATAAACTGAATTCTGAAATTCAGCCAGGGATCTTAATAAGAGAAATCGAGTTCTTGTTCAAAAGCACCAGGTCCCCCATAAAGGCATTTATCTTGACGTGTCCCAGTAAAAGGATCTGTGTATTTTTGAAGATTTATGGGGAAATTGTAAGCCGTAATTGGGAGATCTTTAATAATGTTGTTGATGTAAAAGCAGCCGTGCAGAATAGCTGCTGCAGCAGAGGCAGAGTCGTGTTCACTTTTCTCAGGCAAACGGTGGCTTAATGCTGCCACCAGTGTCAGCAGCTTGTACAGAATGTGGCGTTATAAATTAAGCACTTTTCAGCTGTTTTCACAGAACCACAGCCCCATTCAGCTGCCGCATGGTGCTATGCCGGGAAAAATGTTCTCCCATCACTGATTATGTTCTCCCCACTACTAGGATTAAAAAAAAAATAACCAGCACAAGTCTCGAATTGGCCAAATAAACAACCTTCGACTCCGGCATGTCCAGACAGGAATGTCATGAGTGTCTTACATACTCTTTATCGAAAGGTGCAAGCCAAATCCACAGCTACATTTTCCCTACTTGAAACGGCACGAGACTGGAAGCAATTTGCATTGAGATAAGCCTGGAAGTAAGACCTTTCTGAAAGTTGCCTCTGTAATCAGAAATATTAGGGGTAACTTTGATCAGCCATTTGCAACAGAAAAGAAAGAAAATGTGACTAATTTTCCTTTCCTTTTTGAATCTGTCAGACGTTTTTTTTTTTCCTCTGTAGTCGCAGTTATCTTCAAAGCATCAGCAGCGAGGGGGGAAAAAAGTGCCTTTCTGCACATCGTAACATTGTAATTTTTAATCCAACAACGAGAAATGTCACCTACTACAGGGACATCAAACAATAGATGGCGAATGCGGCAGCTATTAAAATTTAATTATGCAAAGTTGTTTTGAAGCAAGAACAAAGCTTCCTTTTAATGAAAACTGTTTCTTCCGTCCTGACAGACAAGTTCTTTATTTGTGCGATAAATGGTGAGCTCTAGAAATTGTTTGTCCCACGTTAGCTATTAAGCCTCATGAACTTCCTGGAGATCAGGAACAGCTTCATTATGGATTAAGATCTTCTGGAAGTCTCTGAGACCATCCCCCCCCCCCCCCCCCATTCCTCTCATTTAGTATCTGATACTGTAGGATTGTCACTGTCCAACAAACATCAAATCACCCCCCTTGCCAAATTGTAATGTGCTTCATGTCCGGAGGTAGTGTAACTGAGACTGGTTGGAGACGATGGAGGATGTGGGGAAGAAGGTTCAGTCTGAACTTCACACCAGCCTCAGCATTTCCCAAATGTTCAGAAAACCATAGGACTCTTCCACAGCACAGCGTTATAGGATAGCTATTAAACACAGTGAAACGGAATGGCAACTGAATGTCTAAACCAGACTGTGGATAGGCAGGTTGGTGATTTGACAGTGAACCGGTGATCTGCAGACCGAATCAGCTATTGGCTACATATGAGGATTTTACTTTTTATTCTGAGGGTGAAACATGGACTTTGCTTAAGTTTTCAACCAAAATGTTTTAATTACATTCATATAGATGAGCAGTTAAACGTTTCATAAGATGTGAAGTTTTGTGTACTTTTAGTGTGTTAGAGTGCCGATGTTGTTCATATGATGAAACATTTAGGTGAAAACATTCATCCATTTATCCATCCATTTTGTGTAAATGCTGGTCCTGTTCAGGGTCGCAGGGGGTCGGGAGCCTATCCCAGAGGCTAAGGGGGCAAGGCAGGGAACAACCCAGGATGGGGCGCGAACCCATCGCAGGGCTACTCACACACCATTCACTCACACACCATTCACTCACACACGCACACCTACGGGCAATTTGGTGACTCCAGTTAACTAGGTTTATGGACTGTGGGGGGAAACCGGAGCACCTGGAGGAAAGTCCACAACGACACGGGAAGAACATGCAAACTCCACACGCGAAGAGCCATGGCATGAAGTAACAGTGTCACCCACTGTGCCACCCCAAGTAGAAAACTTTTATTTTTTAATGGGAATTGTAAAGAAATCTGTCCATCAGTCTAATTCGTTACTGTGGTATTGCACATACTACAGTATATAACAAGTATGACCACATCCTCCAATCTGTGAGTTCATTCTATTTTATAATAATATTGCTTGTGGTGGGAAAAAACAAGGCCGTGTCTATAAATATAATCTATTTCATTGCCTGGTGTTTGCATGGGTGATTTCCCTCTCATTGCCACAAATACCTCAATCTAGGATGTGTTCACGATCTGCTGGATTCTCAGCAGGCAGATGTTAGTGTCAGAGCATTTAGTGATATTTAAAGGCAGGCACCCTTTAAAAAGCACCAATCATATCACGCAGCCTTCCAGATTTACGTGTAGTCTGCACGCCTCTTGGGCAAGTTAATTGAGTGAAATTTGCATAAGAAATCATAAGGTTATTTCATTTTAAAATTGAATTAAGTTCTTGAAGCTGTGCTTGCTGGGTGGGATACTTTGTGTTATAGCCAGAAAATAAGCTGAATTGGTCTCCGGTAAAACAATTTTGCTTTAGGCTATAATTAAAAGTGCCACGGTATTCTTGATGGCAATGAACAACTTGGTTACTAAACTAAATGAATAATTGCAAATTTCCCGTTTTTAAATATTTACATGTCATTCATTAGAGACCTTTGCCTTTCTGGATATTTGGAGAATTTGGCAATATTATGCGAAGAGGAGCATTTTGGGGCTGTTTGGCTTATTAAGCAGATGTGTTTGCAGATGAATTTCAACATTTTTCTTTTAATGCGATCAGGCTTCCTTTTGCATAAATTCATGAGTTTAGCAAACAGACGGAAAGAGACGGCGGAACGATCTATAAAATCCCGTTTAACTCTGGGATAAATGTTCCCGGCATTGCGTCTTCTGTCAGCGTGTCCGGTCCTACTGCAGCTTTTGAGAAATTAACACCCCCACCATCTTTTATAACCAGCGTGGGCTTCAGCTCCCCCCCCCCCCGCCACCCATGCCACGTGCAAACAGACAACCTAGTTTGTTTCACTACTGATAAGATTCCTGCCTAAAAAAGACAAAATAAATGAAAATATGACCTCTCTGCAACATCTCCATACCTTCAGCAACGCTTTATTGCCAGCTGAGTATGGGTAATGTATTTTAAGATGTGCTCTTAATTATCTATGTGTGTGTTCAGACTTTTGGAACATAATCCCTAAATGTTAAAGACCAGCAGATGAACTTGGGAGACTTGTTCTCCATATGATGTGTAATTCTGACGGGTGGTCTTTGTTGTTTTGTGGTCGGGGATACTCCCATAGGGCTCTCACATGGGTATAGAAGGGTATGAATGACATCATCCCCCCCCACAGAGCCCGCCCCCCCTAATTTCACCACCACCCCCACCTTCTCTTGACAGAGACGGAGGGCCTGAGACCGTGAAAGTGACCGCATTTCTGGGGGCCCGTCCAAAAAACAGGCTGTCAATTAACCTCACAGTCCACCCGCCACCCCCCACCCCACCCCACAGCATCAGGCCTCCTTGGTCCATCGGGCCGCTGGACCGGTGACGCATTTGCGGCTGGCGCCCCCTGCTGTTCGGGCCACATGCCTCAGCATGTCACCATTCACGGTTGCTACGCAACCTTTCGTTTACTACGCTATATCTGTGACTCAAACTCTCTCCCAGCCTTGCTGTTAACTTAGAGAAATGGGGGGTAAAAAAACATCTTTTCAAGCTACTCCTGAACCCAGAAAGGTTTGGCACTCCGCATCGTCATTCCGAGCTCTCCGACGGAGATAATCGTCTGCACCCAAGTCCCACCGCCATCCAGCGTCTGATGAGACAGACTGGAGTTCCTGCACTTCCCCATTCCTCCTCCGCGTCGCCCTTTTCCCTAAAAGCTGGCGCCACTGTGATGTGAATCACACTCGCACTATTACTCTGCGTCTCACGGAAGGAGCCTGTGCTGCTCAAGACTGCTTATTGTATTGAAAAGTGTGGGGGTCTGTCTGGTTTATTTCCTTTGGTCACTGATGTCTTTAGCAACTGAGGAGCCGCTTTAAAATAGGCCCGTTTAATGCACTGTGGCCATGCCGAGGTGGCTTTCCCGGCTGGCCCTCTGTTACCCCCCTGCACAGGCCCCTGTGGCCCAACCCAAGGGGCTTCTGCCACTTGGAGTTACGCAGATTTCTGTCTGGTGAAAGTTACGCAAGACTGCGAGCGTGTGCCATCGCGAAAGATGCCCGATAGGGGAATCAACTTTTTCTTTAACAAGCTCGTGTCCAGTTTCTGCTGAAATAGCTGCCGTTTGTTTTGCAAGGAGTAGCAAAGCAGTTTGGATTGTCAAGTAGTAGGTCTGCGTTTCCTCAGAATGTGCTGTTTTTAAAAGCTCGATTTAAAAGTCAGCAAAGCCATTAAGGTTCCTCGTTAAGCCTGTTTAAATGCAGTCAATAGTATTTGCTGCAATTCTCCTGCAGTTAATGACACGTAATTTGGCGATTTGCTCTTTACTCTTTGTAGTAGATCACAATAGCTTGTCAGAGATCTTTCTGAATACATGATGATCAATAGAAAATAATACAATGATCGTTTGTCTTCTTATTGTTTATTTTTATATGCTGTTATTTAAGGGTCCCCGTTTTTCTGCTGAATTTCTGAGCTGAGAAGATTTAAACTGAAAACACGTGTAAACCAAACCACGTAATGGACGCGAGCTGTGGTTCCTGATCTATGCTCCTATTTTTCCTTTACCTGCATCGGTTAATTATTTCGAAAGGTACGGCATGTTTACAATTTCAAGGGGATCACAAATGTACAAAAAAAAATAACGGCCGCACTGCAATCTGCAT